CTCCTTTTTAATTTAGTTTTGTGAGAGATGGGTATTCCATTCCCATTTAAATATTGTAGGTGCATGAATTATTGCTCTTTTTCAACAACATTAATTTAAAAAATGAAAATATAATAAAAATGAAAAAACTATATATATATGCTGCGCTGTAAGACGCTCAAGTCACCAATCGGTCAATTGCCAGTTTTGCTGATAACGCACTACTGTTATGGACCATTGGACTATATTGGGTTATTTTGCATACTTCAAGTACCTACAATCTTTGCACTGCATCAATTATGAAAATGTTCTTTAAAGAGTTCTCCAAATACAACTTCTCTAACTGCAATGTAACACTTATCTTACAAAAAAACCCAAAAATTGTGATATAAATAAAAAACCATTTTGATATAAAAGAAATATGTATATACAATATAGTTAGGATAGATATACAGCTACTTTCTCTTAGTTCATTGAGAAAAGATGTTTCTACCAATATTGTTTAGATAAGATATCATGTATGCATCTTGCCCTCTGAATAACTTCTACAAAGACAACAATATGGAACATGTTAATAATTGTAATTGTAACTGTCCTACTAATCCATTTTGAAACTATTTGATTGCTATTAGATATTTTTCTCATTAAAATGAATAAAAAGAGTAAAAAAACCAAAAAAAATAGAAATACAACAACAACAAAAGTGCTACCATGTATTCTGAAGTATTTGTGACTAAAATCATGAAATCTTTAGGGCTAGCCAAATAGGCCAGCAGATTAAAGCACCTGCTTAGACAGACACAGGGGTCAGGAGTTCGATCCCCAGGCCCACTGTGCTCCCCCCCCAGGCGTGCTAAGATGGCAATTGAGACTCAGCATGGTGGCACGCACCTGTAATCCTAGCACTTGGGAGACTGGAAACAGGAGGACCACTACAAGGCTGATCTACACAGTGAGACCTTGTAAGCCCCTGTACACTCTGTCCTAAATACAAAAAAAACCAATTTTAGAATATGCTTTAAAATATACACTGGAGAGTGGAAAACCAGTGTAAATGTAGACAAAACAAATTTCCCATATACTAATATATTCTTGGAGATGGACTATGAGTACATTAAAATGCAGTAAAGTAGCTTGATTTGTCATCATGAAAATTCAAGCTCAAATACATGGTAACACATACAGTCCTGAAATGAGCACTCATCTGTATGGGGAAGAGGCAAAAACACCCCTCTATAAATAAAACTAACATTTTTCCATTGTTGCCATGGAAATGTTGCAACAATTCAGAATGAAAATCAATCATCTATATTGAACCTCAAGGTACAGTCCTGGTTAACTTCTTCATAAGGTCTATACCACAAAATATTTAACACAGAAGATTGTAGGAGAAAGGAGGGCCTCTTCTTAAACCAAGATGCCTAAATTTCAACTCTAAAGAGAGCAATGGGGAGGCGTTACCAAGGCAAAGGCACAAAATGATAGTCAGTGGGTTACATATGGTTTCTAGTCAAGTTTCTTTGAATCTCTGATGTTATTTTAAAAATTAAGAAGCTAACAATGTTCAAAATTTAAGATGTGCCTTATAAAAACCTTAATTTTCTATTTTTAAAATTTATCTCATAATAGTCAACTGGAGTTTGGTAGTAGCTTTTTTTTCAAAAGTACACGTACCCTCCATTTTGACAAAATCTTCATCAGATCAGCTTTATTTATATGTACCTTCATCTTAATGTAAACAAAGGCACGCTGTAGGTTACTGGATGGTGCTGAGTTTCAAATATTTAATTTCACTTAATTACCTTTGTGCTTCTCTATATTCAGCCAAGAGTAGGACCCAAGAGTTAAATGAGGGAATAATGTCTTAGCTGCCTTAATTTTTGCTTAAGTATTATGGATTCCCAAGGAGAAAGATTGATAGGTATTTACTAGTGATGATCACTACTCAAAAGACACCAGGTTTCATGCTTCTACAGGACAGTTTTATAAGAGTTGCCTTAGAGTATGAGTAAGATATAGAGGTAAAAATCAAGAATGGGGCTTGTACTTGAGTATAAATAAGGCTGTCTTTGTTTCAAGATTTCCTTCTTATTACTTCTTTTGGACTCTTGCCCCTCCTCATGTGTGTGTGCATGCATGCATGAGTGTTTGTGTTTGTGTCTGTGTGGGGGAGAGAGGTTAAAATGGTTGAAACTGGCAAACCTGTATGGACTCTACGATGAGCTTTCAGATGAGAGCTTTTAGTATATACTTTGTTGCATCCCGCAAAGTCACATTGGTGAATCCGTCTTCTCTTCAAATCTAGTGACTCTTCTCCCTGCAGTTGGGTCATTATTCTTGATCTAAGCAAAGAAATTAGATAAGGCCAAAGAATGACTTTAAAGTGAAAGTTAGGTCTGAAGAGATAGCTCAGCAGTCTAAGCACCTGCCTGGCAAGTGTAAGGACCCAGGTTCAATGCTTGGTACCACATGCCATGCTTGCCCCAGAACTCTGGGCTGGCGGGCCATGCCAGCCATTGAAACCAGGCATGGTGGTACACAGCTATAATCCCATGCTGGGGAGGCTGAGACAGGAGGATCTCTACAAGTCCCAGCTGCATAGCAAGTCCTTGTATCAAATAAATATATTTTAAAAATTTAAAAATAAGATGAATGGTAAAGAAATTCCCTCCAATACAGTGGTACAACCTACCAATTTTTATTTTATGTTACTAAATTTTAAGCCCATAAAAGAAGAACTAATTGAAATAACGCAAATGATTCTCTCAACTATGCTTTCTGTTGGATGGAGGTCCCTGAGAAAGCTTGGGAGGTGGTAACGTTTCCCTAACTGATTCTGTTCTACAACTGTGGGAGCACTAACTTCAGGTAGTGTCACTCTTGAGCTTAAAAAAATGCATGTTTCATACAATAGACTTGCTAAACATGAGCAAAGTACATCCATTTAATTTCAACATTTGAAGTCATAGCTGTTTTACATTTAAACAGAGAAATAGTAGATGGCAGTGATTGATATAAATTTTGAAGATTTATCAAGAATAAAATTTATGATCTACAATTAAAAAATAATTCAACCGCAACATTCACATGCATGCTTATATGTACATACGAACATATACAGTAAAGCAGTTTTCCTATATTATGTTGTTTTGTAAATTTTTCCTTTTGTATCTGATGAGTCCCATCTCTATGCATACAAAAACATGCATGCACACTCACATACACACAGAGAGAGACTTAGAGAAAACAGTACTCACTGTTGCTGCAGTCCTTGTAGACTCTGTAAGGCCGAAGTTCCACTCTCCATTAAGCTCTCCTCACTGTCACTTGGAATCTCCAAAGGAGACATGGAGGTGGGGTCAACTTTCACTAAGAATAAAGAAAGGGAATAATATGCACCAAAATATATTTGCCTTTGCAATAATTTTCTAGATTGCCAGTTTAACCCATATTGAGAAGTCATAGGAAGATACAAAAATAAAGAAAAAAAGAAACAGAAATGTAATTGTATAGAATAAAAAGTAATATTAAAAATTCAGCACAGCAAAGAAAAAAATGCTCTGAAAGTAGAGTCAGAGTCATCACTTTGTTCAAGGAATTGTTTTGTTTTTGGAACCAGGGATCAAACTCAGAATCTTGCACTTGCAAGATAGGGACAGGGAGATACCTCAGTAGAATAAGCACTTCATGGCCAAGAGTAAAGTCCTGAGTTCAATCCCCAGTACAGAAAAAAAATAGGTATGTATAGCACTAAGCTATATCCACAGCCCCCGAGTGATCACTTTGGAATCACAAAAATGTGAACTTCCTGGGATAGAATTTGGGTATGAATCATTTCTCTATCTCCAGCTGACAAGGAAATATGTTCTCAAAAGTTGGGTCTGAAGTGTGATATTTGAACTCTTTCCATAACTCCCTGGCGGTTATAAAATAATTTCTACTATTGTCCCAGATATAACATATTCTTCAGATTTTATCTAAGACAAAATGAGTCAGTGACAGAAAACATATGCCCAACAGCCAGGAGGTACTTGATACATGTTAACACTTCCCATTCCCATTTGTAAAAAGCCTTTATTACTTTGTATTAGTAACACTAATGTGCAAAGACACTGGATTCAATTCACAGTACCAAAAAGTATCACATATTTAAATATGAAAAATTAAGTTGTGAGCAAAGTCCCAGATTTAGTAAAATCTGCAAACTTTTATATGGAAGAAAAGGATAAGTGTAAAGAGAGTCAGAATAATTGACTAGAATAATTATTTATTTAATTCAAATTACATATATTTTACATTTAATAGAAAAATAGTAGATGACTATAATTTATGGAAATTTTGAAGATTTTTCAAGTATAAAATTGGTGATCTACAATTAGGAATGAATTCAAACATAACATGTATATACGTGCATGTATATATAACACAATAATGTTATTAATAAAATGTATTTGAAAGCTTTTTCCAAAATCACTGAAGAAAAACAACACTATCATGTATTAAGCAACTACTGGGTGATAGGTACTTCTATTTGTGCATGATTTACTAAAAGTAACAAGCATAAATCTCACTATGTGTACATATCATATAAATGCATTACTATCTTAAAAAGTTTATGTACATTATAAAAAACAAAGCAGCATGTAAAAGATAAAACAATTTTTTTAAATTTTTTTCCATAATTTTACTGAGAAATAAATAGCAATGAGACAGTTTCATATCAAATTGGTAGGACAGTTCCAATAATTAACACATTGCATACTGCCTTCCTAGTGGTTACTTGTTGTACAAGATGTAAACATGATATTCTATTTACAAACACGATTAGAACAAATCCTTCTATTACTTGAATTAAGACAATGTAGCTATATATCTATCATAACCATTTTGAATACACAGATACAAAATGGTCATTCCTCTATATCACCTTTTTTTGTTTAGTTTCATCATTTAAATATTATAGGTATGTGAACTCAGCAACATATTCCAAAAGAGTCCAGTAGTATATAATAGTAGTGGATCTTCCATTTGACTGACAATGTCAGAAGTTGTTGACCTGAGTCCCTTACAGCTCAACATAACAACATGCATGACTTTATTTCTTGTACTTAGTTTTATACTTTTCTGCTGGATGGTTAAGCCCAAGATAAAGCAAGACTTATGTACCAAGAATTGTAGTTTTTGGTCTGATAAGGTCAGGCAAATCCCCTCAGGATTTATCCTGAGACCCTGTACAGCGGATTGTAGATCCCTTGTCAGTGTCCGCCATGTGGATGAGTCACAGCCATTGCTTGGCCAATTTTCTCTCTATGACAGCCTGAGAGAACGTTTTCTCTCCATGTGACTCTCTTTAGGCACACTCTACATCATCAATCACTTTCCTCTTTGGCCCCATAATCTCCTTGGTCAGAAAATTTGGGACACAACTGAGTTACATGATGTTATAGTACAAGTTCTCATATGTCCTGAGTCTTAATTGACCATGGAAGGCTAGGACCAAAATGTTGGCTTTCCTTGTGTCCCTCCTTTTTCTCTCATTTTGGTCTGTAAACTTAGGTTGTTAACCCTCCAGAAGAGAAGCTTATTGTTATTATCATATAACCTAGGCAGTTGAGCTTAACCTCACTATCTGTCTGAATGTCAAACATACTAGGCATAACATGGAACAGGTATTTTTCATAAAGTATTGATATGTTAAGCTTTAAGTCCCTACAGAATATGACAAAAAATTAAAATACATTTAAAAATAGCAATAAACACTTATATATGTTACTCATAAGTCCAGAAATCTAACCATATACAACATTGTTGCAGGACAGTCCAGCAACACTCCTTTTCCTGTCTCCTGCTTTCATTCACCAACTCCTCCTTTTTAAATAATCATCTACATGAGAGACACCATGGCAGCAACTGGTGTGTCATGAGAAGCAGCACATATTCATAAGATCAGAATGACAGGCACACCAAGCATGAACCTACTATTACAAATTGCCATCTTCAGTGCAGTTGCTTAGTTCACAGGTGACAGTATATATAGTTAGTCAGGGTGAAAATCCTTCCAATTAATGGCTAGATTCAAAAATCTTCTGAAGATTCTCAGGATCATTGCTTTACCCATCTTGTACATATAACTGTATGGCTTGCCTCTGTCATGTTTCCTAGCTGTTGTCCTTGCTCTCTCTTCATTGTCTAGTCCTCAAGTTTTTGCTTTTCTTTTAGTTGTACTATAACTTTCTCTGCATTTCTTTTCAGTTATTATAGTAGGGAAGCTATATGATATTTACACATGTGTCTGGTTTATTTCTCTTATATAACTTCCATTGGCATCCACTTAAATATAAAGGCTTTGAGTTTATCATTCTTTATAGCTGAGTAATACTCCATTGTATAAAAATATTACATCTTTTTCATCCATTCCTCAGGTGATGGGCATCTTGGTTGTTTCCATGATTTGGCTATCACAGATTGTGCTGCTATAAACATAGGCACACATATATCACTATGATATGATGTTTTCAGATCCTCCGGAAAAATTCCCAGTAGAGGAATAGCTGGTTGAAATGGGATTTCCAGTCCAACTTTTCTAAGGAGTCTCCACACTGATTTCCGTAATGGTTGCACCAATCTATATTCCCACCAGCAGTGGAGAAGGGTTCCTTTTTCCCCACAGCCTCTCCAACATTTGTTGTTGGGTGATTTCTTTATGATAGCCATTCTCCCTGGGGTGAGATGATATCTCAAATTTGTTTTAATTTGCATTTTGCGGATGACTGGTAACGTGGAGCATTTTTTCATATATTTTTTCGCTTCTTTAATTTCATCCTCTGAGAAGTGTGTGTTTATCTCCAATGCTCATTTCTGGACTGTGTCTTTAAATATTGGGGCCTAGTGTTTTTTAGTTCTTTATAAATTCCAGAAAGCAGACCTTTGTCTGAGTTCTTATTTGTCAAGACTTTTTCTAAATTTGTGGGTTGTCTTTTCACTTTGTTGGTAATTGCTTTTAATGTGAAAAAACTTCAATAAGAGGAGGTCCCAGTTGTTAATTCTTTCAACTGTTTCCCATGTGATTTGATTTTTGTTTATGAACTCTTTTCCTACCCCTATGTCTTCAAGAGTTCCTCCTACTTTCTCTTCCAGGAGATCTAGTGTCTCTCCTTTAATGTTTAGATCTTTAATCTATTTTGACTTTAGTTTA